AAGTCCAGATTTATCTTTGTCTGGGGCTTTCACATCCATTTTAGTTAACTTTGATTCTACATAATCAAATACATTTCTGCCTTGGTAACCTATGACAAACAGGGTTGTCTGTAAGCAACACAGCTATATGTGTAGCTTAAAAAAAAAAAAAAAAAAAAAGAGGCCTTCGAGGAATAAGAAAGATCAGGCTACTCAGTACATTTGGCAAGCAAATATTGCAGCGGTGGGGACTGCAGAGTACCTACTAGGTAGAGACGCGACCCAGTTCCTACCGTGCAAAAGTAACATAACACAAAGCTAAAAATGTATGGGTTGTCCAATTTTAAAATTCACTCAGCCAGCAATTTTTAAGACCTACAACTGATTGTTGTTTTAGGCTGTGTCTCATCATGTGAATTATCTAAAAGGGAAAAAAAAAAATCCCCATGGTTTTGGTTTAGCAGCAAGGAAACCAAAAAAAAAAAAGGGGGGGGGAGAGAAAAAAGAAAAGCAAGTTTTAGTAACACCAGAGAACAAAATTCAACCACATCCATATAAATCGAGGAATAAGAAAGATCAGGCTACTCAGTACATTTGGCCATATTGCAGCGGTGGGGACTGCAGAGTACCTACTAGGTAGAGACGCGACCCAGTTCCTACCGTGCAAAAGTAACATAACACAAAGCTAAAAATGTATGGGTTGTCCAATTTTAAAATTCACTCAGCCAGCAATTTTTAAGACCTACAACTGATTGTTGTTTTAGGCTGTGTCTCATCATGTGAATTATCTAAAAGGGAAAAAAAAAAATCCCCATGGTTTTGGTTTAGCAGCAAGGAAACCAAAAAAAAAAAAGGGGGGGGGAGAGAAAAAAGAAAAGCAAGTTTTAGTAACACCAGAGAACAAAATTCAACCACATCCATATAAATAACGTTGATACTAGCGTTGGGAAGTAAATATAAAAACATTTTAAAATAGAAGACCTTCGAAACCATACTGCATTGTTTAGTATGAAAATAATAGCCTTCCGAGCCAGTACTATTAGAGAACGTATTTAATCCAGTGCAGAATTGGCTATGAAACCATCCACTCTACCATGGGAATGCTTAGCTCAGTATCTGGTAGGTTGCCAGCCATTTAAAATGTTTTTGTGTTGGTTTAATGATTGTTCCCATGAGCACTGATGGTAAGGGTTGACATTAATTAAAATACTAAGTCATCAGAGCTTGCATTGTGGGGAGAAGGAGAATGGGCTGGATCCAATTGTCTTCAAGGTTTCTTTGGCCTTCCACATTTTTCTCTTAGATGCACCATACATGCCAAGTATCCTCTTAGCTGAGGTATAACAATGTAAACAGACTGCCTCCGCAAATATAAAGTAATCTTTTTAGGTTTTCCACACACTTTCATTTAACTGATTAGAGGACACTCATTAAAATCAGCTAATCATGTAATGTGGGCTGTGTTCTGAATGCTAAGCAAAATGCCTAAATGAAAGAGGATTTTAAAACACTGTCTGCCTCTCTTAATTTATTTCTACTGTATACTCAATGGCACACAATACAGTAGGAATTCTGGGCCCTATCCTCATTAACCTCAAAACTCATTATCTCATGTAAAAACAGGCCCTTTCCGCAGATTGTGTTGGAAAAGGTATGAAAAAAGCATATTAAAGATAATGTGTTTGGGCACACGCTCTCAGAACAGGATGGAGGATTTTTCTTCGAACTGTGAAGTTAATATAGAAGAGGAAAAAATCCTGGGTGAGACCCGCTGCTAAAACGAGCTATACAAAATTTGGATAGAAGAGCTATCCTCATGCATTTCTCTCTCTTCTTTTGTTATGTAACTGCTCAAGATTGAGATCTTCAAAGGCACACAGACCGGAATAAGTGACATAAAAATGTGGAGTCCACAAAAGGTCACGGAGAGAACAGGTAGAGAGGCTGAGCTTTTCTACTCCAGCTTGAGCTCCCATCCCATTGGCAGGCACTTCACACTGCAGGGACTGGGAGTGCAAGAAGGGAAGTTTATGCTATATATAATGTGACCCATAGCTTAAGAATGAAGACCTCTGGCTTGGCCAACACGGAGAAGCCAGCCAAGCCTACACAAATGAGACATTTTTGCAGTAAGCAGTGCACCACATAAAGCAGACTGCCGGTCCGGATGCGGAAGGCAGAGCAACTCTTTTTATTTCAAAAGACATTTGCTCCTTTGGATTACAAGTCAGGTGATGCTGAGACTTCGGGTCACCCTCCCCATGTCAGGAGAAAGCCAAAACCTAGACGAGGTGCCTGAAGTTACTGCCCCAGCTCCTTCGCTGGCAGGTGGCCTGCAGCAGGGGCTGTGTAAGAGCACTCCTCACCTCCCAGCACCCGCAGTGCAACCACCAAGGTGCCTTGCGAGCACAGGCATCCCTTGGCAGAGGCCCCTTTACCTTGTTTGTGGATGCAAACGCCACCTCCGTGCCCTCCCCACGTCAAGCAGGTCCCAGCGGCAGGGGTTCAGCTCACCACAGGCAGAAGAATTCTGTGCCGGCAAATCCCGGAAGATGGGAACGCTCTTTGGCTTTTTGGTGTGAATGTTCTTTGAGTAACCTTTTAATATTAAAAAAAAAAAAAAACAAACCTACAAGGTCTTTTGAGTCCTTCAGGAGCTCCTTCATGTAACCCGGAAGGGCGAGAGCAGCCAAGGGAGGTCCTTGCCCATGTACGTGAGGGCAGGAGGCCTGATGATCTCCTGAGGCTTGTCTGTGAACACAAGGTTAAAAGGCCTGGGATGTTTTTGAATTATTTTCTTTATTTTAAAGTGTTAGTTTCTTTTCTTGTTTGGTGGGGCCAGGGGGTTGGGTTGGTTGTTTGTTTATATAGTGCAGGCAGACCCAGGGGGAACAGGCAGTGCCCGGGCAGCCCCACTGCCCCCTCCTCAAGGGCACCATGAAGATAGAGCACAGAATGACAGAATAATATGGTGTTGGAAGGGACCTCTGGAGATCATCTCGTCCAACCCCCCTGCCAAAGCAGGTCCACCTAGAGCAGGTTGCACAGGAACTTGTCCAGGCAGGTTTTGAATGTCTCCAGAGAAGGAGACTCCACCACCTCCCTGGGCAGCCTGTTCCAGGGCTCTGCCACCCTCAAAGTGAATAAGTTCTTCCTCATGTTTAGGTGGAACTTTTATATTCAAGTTTGTGCCCATTACCTTTTGTCCTGTCACTGGGCACCACTGAAAAAAGACCGGCCCCATTCTCTTAATACCCACCCTTTAAGTATTTATAAGTGTTGCTCAGATCGCCCCTCAGCCTTCTCTTCTCCAGACTAAAAAGACCCAAGTCCCTCAGCCTTTACTCATAAGAGAGATGCTCCAGGCCCCTCATCATCGTTGTAGCCTCTGCTGTCCCCTCTCCAGCAGTTCCCTGTCCTGGAACTGGGGAGCCCAGAACTGGACACACAGAGCAGCCAAACAGGGGCTCTGGGCACAGCCTGGCCATGGCAGACCCTCGATAGAGCAGGTCGCCCCACATCACCCCAGGGTGCTGTGGAGGTGGTTCCATGCCCGGAGACACGGGGAGGAGGGCCGGCGGTGAGCCTTGGAGGTGGCACAGGCGCCCAGGTCACCAGGGTGGAGGCCGAGGCCCACGTTTCTGCAGCTCAGTGGAGCTTTCCCTCCTGGTCCCCCGGGCTGAAAGGGGTATAATCCGGGGAGCCGGAGTGGGTGGTCCGGGCGGACGGAGGCGCGGGCTGTCCCCGCTGTCCCCACGCCGGCCCGGGCCCGCTCCCGCTCCCGCAGCTGGGCCCAAGGCGGCCCGCAGACTGCTCTCGGCACATTTCTTCATTTCTCACTTGAGTGCCCTTCTTTAGTTCCCTTTCAACTGCCCACTTTATATCGGCTTCATTACACCACCGCTCCATTTGTAATGTAAATCGGGAAACTCAGGGAAGTTTTTCTTTTGGCCTTGTCTACGGAAGAATACCGAGAGGTATTCAAAACGTATTAACACAAATCAATGGCACCAATAAAAGCAAAATCTCCTTAGCAACATAATCTTGATTGCAAAAGGAGAACTGAGAGCATTTAGCAGAACAGTGGCCCACATGGAATACGCATTTGTCTAGAAGAATGCAGCACAAAGCCTAAAAGAGAGATGCTGAAAAAATCCAAAATTAACTCACACTGAACAGTTACTCTTTTTTTCAAAAGTACACAATTGGCTACATTAAATCTATCGTGCGCTTTTCTGCTCAGCAACATTGTATCATACCGCTTTTTTTGCCAGCCCAAATTACAACAGCCCCCCGAAGGCTCCACCGCCCCGGCCAGCAGCACCCTCCCCTCCCCTACACGGGCACGTATAACACACACATATATATATAATTATACACACGTTATAACGAGGCCGCTAAGCTTTCCACGGACTGGTGAGATGTTTCAGGCACAGAAGAGCATCCAGTTGATGAGAATGGAGACCATCCTGGGGGTGCAGGATGGGTTTATGCTCCCCAGGTTCGGGTTATCCGGCATCTCGCATCCGACTGCCTTAAAAACACAACCCTAACGCTGATGGGAACCATTCCCCTCTGAATAAACGGAGTCTGCCCTCACTAGATGGAAAGTATTCCTTCTTTGAGACCACTAGTGTATAAAAAAAACCCAAACAGCTTCAACATTACTATTCAACCCTAACGGTAATACATATAATAAATCCTACGACCACTAGGGCTTGAAAAGCCTAAAGAACTCCAAATGTGGACTTAAAGAAAAGCCTGTTTGAAACGCTTACGGCAGGCAACACCTCTAACTTCGGCAACTTCACTCTTAGTGTCACCTAAATTAGCCCAAACCATTTTCGATTTCTTTTATATTTTTTTATCTCTTTATTTAGACAAAAAGTATCATCCAGAAGTTAGAAGAGACCTCTGTATGGCAAGGCAGAAGTTTCTGGGGTTGTTCTTTCTTTTTCTTCTTCTCCCTACCACCCTCCCCCCCCCAACATATTGGATAGATGAAAAACAGTAAGGCCGAGTAGATAGGTTAACAATTATTTTATTAGTTTATAATACATACAACTTAAGAAATGCTTTAAAAAAATTTATATTGGAGTCCGTTCCAATTCTGGGTCAGGTCAGGAAAAAACAATGCTGATGTATTAAATAATATTCTATAATTCAACAATAGATTAACTTCAGTAATTTAGCAGACATGATTAAATACTCTTAAATATGCATATATACAATTGTGCAGCCTTAAAAAAAAAAGTCCTTTTCTTCCTATCTTCTCCTCCCAAAGCCGTGCGCCCTGTGAACACAGTACTGGCCTCTCAGCTTTCAGTCTCTCACCCGGACTTCAAATATTTGAAGAGGAATGTTACAATAGTGGAAATCACAGCAACCCTATCTTCTAAACTCTGTATGAAAGGAGATGCCCAACAGACAAAATGACCATTGGGCCTCTCTATAAATAGCAGCTTCCTTAAAATCCAGTTCCAGGTTAAATTATTGCTTACGCGTTTTCTGCCTGAAATAGATTTATAACATAGTCCAAAATATTTTTATTTTTTTTTTTAAGTTTACCTTCTTGAAAGATTACATCCCTTCAGCGACTTAGTTACCATTACTGCTTGGTACGTTTAACAGGTTTTTCCTAAGCACACACAATCCGATGCAATTCTCTGCAAATTCTTTTAAAGCAACATGAATTACACAGGGCTAATTGAGCACACAGCATTTAGGCACTGTTTTGTAATTTACTGTTCTATTTAAAAATTATGTTTGGAACTAGTTTTGTATTCTGATTTGCCATATTCAGTCTTGTACGGAAACAAGAATCCGAGTGACACTTTTCAGATCAGGAACTGCTCTGCATTCCTTATTATCTCGCTGAACCGGACTGCTCATTGAAAATATTAACGAGCATGCACACCGCGTACCCTAACGAGCTGGAAAGCCTGTTGCAAGCACAGAAGGATCAGAGATAACCATTTAGAGTGAACGAGTGAGATATTTCTATTGCTACGATGAAATCAGTTTAAACACAGAGCTACTAAAAGTATCAGTTATATTGCATCAGGACATCTGACATTCTAAAAAAATATCTAAACATGATTTAAAAAAAAATTAAAAATTAAAACTTAAAACACTGTAACAGGAAAAAAAAAACCCTTCTGCTAACTAGATGTCAACACAAGCAAAGTAACTTTCAATGATAAAGTTAAAAACAAGGTGGTGAGGGGAGGAAAGCACGTTTCAATGAACGCTGTAAAAATCTACTATCTGCCCTCCAAAAGCGAGCATTTGTCAATGGTTCCCTTCTCTGTAAAAGCTACAACTAATTACAACAAGTCTATCTTACTTACCTGAAATTAAAATTATCCTAACTGGATCCCACTCACAGGCCTTAGATATACTGTCACATGACAGGAGCTGCCTGGACAAGTCAAGAATTTTCTTTGGAAACAATTAGCCGTGCATTACAGGCTCCAGCTTAGGAAAAGACTGTTCTGTACTCGCTGCAGAGCTCTCCTCAGCCATTCTGTTTTGGTCTGGATATTTTAAACTAAGAGATGCCGAGTTTAGAAGGAAGCTTAAGCTCCAAATCTGCATAACAGCAGAATTGTCTATTAATCAGGGTATAACCATAACAAATTAACAACACACTTGTTTAAAAAAAAAATGTAATAGAAATCAAGACAGTCTACATAATTACTGGATTGCTAGCTTTTACTTAACTTTCATTATTCAATACCATTTTATATAGTTCAAGCCTATTTTCCATCACACTCGAATAATTCCAAACATAATCCTCTCAATCTTTTGGGTGTTGCTTCTCCTAATTCCTATGTTTCATCCTTTGCCTCAGAAAATGTTTCCTAATGGTCTGTTGCATTCTGAGGAGTCAAGCATTTATGAATCTTAAGAAACTAAATTTTAACAAAATATTAATGAGTTAAAGTATGAGAATTTTTTAAATGCTACCTTCCATGAAAACAATAAAATTTAGTTTATAAGAGATGTGTTACCTAGGTGTCATGTGGTGGAGATACACACACCAGCACAACTGTCAGCATAGGAAGTTTCATGCAAGGAGTCTTTTATTTTTCAAAAATAGCCTCTAATTCAGCCCATGCTGACTGAAACACCAGTGTGCAAAAAGATGAAGTTCAAAAATTAATGAACTGTAAAATACCGTTACCAACAAAACTACCCAAATGGATATCTGTAACTAATGAAGATTAAAGGTGTGGTGTTTTCAGCAGTGAAAGTTTTTGCTTCTAGAGTGCTTCTCCCATTGAGACTTTCCCAGTTCCTTAAGAAGAATGATACTGTTTTCTCGTTACACCAGTATCCCCTGATTCACCCAACCTACAGAGAGAACTTCACAAAGAATAAACACAGGAATTAAGAAGGTAGCACCGTTAGAAATAACGACTCTATCCAAATCAGAAAAAAAATTCATTTATCCTTATCCAACATACTTTGACATTCAGCAGCCTAATAATACAGGGTAAAGGGAGCTCTCATAGCTGTATATTGATAACATTCATAATGGTCATGCATATTACAATCAGAAGTTTTCTAGGGTGCCATTTGCAAAATAAGCCTTCATGCAGATAGGCATTCAGCTCATTAACTCCATTTTCATATTTCCTATTAGTCCCTGAGAAGTTAATATTTCTACCTACAATATGGCTATTAAAGGCATTGTAATGATCATACACTTAGCTGTTTGTGATGGAAATGCAATGTGGCTTTAGGGAGAAGCAGCACAGAAATTACAGCAAATTAGCGGTGATGAATACAGATCTTATTTCCAAAATGCTTTCTTTTCATAAGCAAGGTTGCTGAAGAGGAACATAAATGATTTTAGTCACGGATACAAAACTAGCCAGCACCACTTACCCTTAATAAGTTGCTACTATGAATCCAAGACATTTGGGGCTCCGAGACCTCTCTAATTGAGCATTTCCTTTACATAAAATCATCTGGATTTTGACCTAATGTAGGGTCATCATGATCCTTCTTTTAATTACTCAACAGCAGTGCTGGGAGAACTTAAAAGAACCAGGGATTTTCTTTGCTTAACAAGTCTTTTGCCTCTTCAATTAAAGTGATCTTTTTAAATTGTTCAGAATTCAAATGGGGTTTTTTGGTGGACAATTTGCATTATTGCCAGCTGCTCAAAAACCATAAGCTTGGGCTCCCAAAACAAGGGGACCGATTTAAAATTAAGACTTTGGGGTGGGGGGTGGAGGGAAGGGAATAAAGACAAGTTCTTTTTCTTTGCCTTCTGGCTTCTGAGCAGTTACAGATTGCATTTTAAAGCTGTTCTCTACAACCTTCAGGGCTAAATAATGACTTTTAGAAAAAAAACAAAAAAAAAGAAAACTGACTTTTCAGTAAGGTTGTATCTCAGAGAGAGAGTGTTACAATTAAACACCATTGCCTTGAGATTTACCAAAATAAAGTATCATTTAACAAATTTATTCAGAGATTATAATTTACACCTAAGTACTGTAAAAAGTTTTTACAATCTACTCGGTTTTGAGGACCATGGGAAATTGCAGATTTGCCATGGACATTTTTGGATTTGCATACATAGTTTATTATAACGATTCTTACTGAGCTATTACAAAAAGTTTACTGACTTCGTGTAACCTATCTCCACAAACATTTTAATTTCTGGAGAAGTTTGCCAATCTCAGAATAAGCTTCAAATCACAGCTGTTTAACAACAGATGAGCTCTACAGAATTCTTCATGTAGGGTCAGACAGAAAGTCTTTTTCCCCTCAGGACTCATTTCTTCCTACAACTAAAAAGATTAAAAATAATTGATTGTGATTATATTACAGTAACAAAGAAACCTTTATTGGCCAGTTAAAGGCCATTACACCTAAAAATACTAATTAGCCTTCATAGGGAATCATTGATGCATTTACCATTAGTTTTTCAGGCTAAAGGTGAGACAGACATAATTATCATCATTTGTTAAATGATGACTATCAGGTGGGTACCTAACTCTTACTATTAGAGGAAAATTTGAAATAGATAAGATTATTTGTAGGAATTACTGAGTTGCAAGAAGCTGAACAGATTAGTACAATGTAATATTTATTTTAACAAAGAGTAGGCTGTGTCCTGAAGTCTGACTAGAGTTTCTGGCCTGCTCAAACTGTTGCAACTTCATCCTTTGCCAATTAGATAAAAAAAGAGGGAACGTATGTCTTCTCAGTAGCACACAAAATAAATAGATTCAGTATTTTAGAAACAACATCAAAAGAAAATCCTGACGACTGCTGCAGGCATTAAAGAGTTGATTAAAGTTCCTGCCATGTTCAATTTCTTTCATTGTAATTAATGAATTGAAAGGGATTGTATGAAAATGTTTTATAACATTCTTACTAGCCGAGTGTACTACTTCATCAGGAGAGCAGCACTTTTGAGCAAGACTCATCTTTTTATATATAAAAACAGTTTTTCAAGCCTCCTGGTTGCATTTTAAATCTGAGACATTGTTTCAATAAAAATCAGAAATGCTTTAAGAGGCAATTACTCTGGCCTCCTTGCTAAGAGATTTAACTTTTTATTTGCTCGGAGCTCTGCTTTGGACCCCTGTACTAGAATTCTTGGAGAGAAAGTCATAGTTAAAATACAGAAATGCCTGCCAGCCAAGTAGATGACAGCTGATGCACCTGAAAGTAGACAAGATCTTAACCAGAACTACCACTTACGTGGAAGCTTCACTAATGAGATACTTTTTCGAAGCCCCTGAGCCACGCTGTAGTCAGTGCTCCGGTTCCAGCACACATCACACTCCAATTAGCTCTAGTGTAGGTAGGTTTGGGTGCTGCTGGCAAGGTAGTCGTGGTGTCACAGAATGTGGCGTGGGAAGTTTGGGTAGTAAACTAAGGTAAATGGCTCGCGCTGAATGCGGTGCTGCTACGAAATTAGCGCAAACCACATCCAATCTATCCCTCCACACTAACGACCCACCGGTGGGAAACTGCATCCGTGACACGAACCTATCAACTGAGAATTTTGATAGTAAAATCTAGACCTTGTATGATTCAATATTAATTTCATTAGAACTGACACTTGAAGAAATCAACCTATATTCCTGGCCATCAGTATTTATCACCAGTGATCATTTCTGTTCAATTCCAACCTCTCCCCTGCACATCCAGCCCCTACAATCTCAGCAGACATCAATGTTGGCTTCTGGCTTCCCTCGCAGCCTGAAAGTGGTCTGAGATTACAACTAATACTTCTGAGTGAGAGGGGGAGTGGGGCAGAGCCAGATTTGTACTAAAGAAGAGGTTGAAATTGATATTTTTTTTTAACTATAACCAGTTACTTTGGAGAGAAACTGTTATGGGACCCAGAGGACTGGGGCAGCACGAAACTGGTATTTGTTAATTAAAAATCATATTCTATCAAGTCAAAGAAACACACCTGTAGGCTTCTATGAAAAGCATAGCTGAGCTATTTTCAAAATAAACAGCAGGAATCCACAGACAAAAGCTGAGCAAAGGATGAGTTTTGGGAACGGATACAGAAGGCTTAGATTTAAGAAAACTTAAAACTTTCTAGACCACTCCCACTATCAACAATTTAGGAGTATAATACTCACTAAAGAATATTTTACAGAGAATAAATATTTTGAAGACATAGAAAAATAGTTCACAGCATCAAGGTACCTGTATTATATTACCTTGAAATAAAACTTGTATTTAAAAGATTAGAAAGAGAAGATTATTCTTGTAGTGGTATCAACTTTTCATTCATACAAATATTAAGCAGAGTATATCTGGTTTTTTTTTTTCTTATATTCACATTATTGCTTGCTACCGCAACTGTACAAGGAACATATTCTTAACTTACATTAATGTTCATGTACAGTAATTTCAGATACCTAAAGCAAATTTAAAAGTATGATTGAGTTGCAATTTAAAAAAAAAAAAAACAACAGCTATGTGTGAAGATATGTACAACTAAGATATAACTACAAGAAACAAAATACAACTGGCCTGACCCAAGCATTTATCATATATCCAGTTTAAAAAGTCTTACACTTGTGCAGAAAATAAGCTTTGTAAACCAAAATGAGCAGAAGCAAGGGTGCAATAAATAATTACTGAACACATTTAAACTTACACTGTTGCCCAGTGTACCCTGCTTTAATTATTTTTAATACATGGCATCTGCATTTGCATCTGGAACTGTAATGTTCAAGATTTCTTCAGTAACTTTTTTCTGCTTATGTGGCTTTAAAACAAAAAAACAAACAAAAAAAAACCCCTGAAAGGTCCTCTCGGACAGTAAGTTTTAGTAAAACAAGTCCTTCTGCACCCCTGTGTACAGGATCTGGTAAACAGTAGGAATAAAGCTGATAGATGGCATTAGCCTGAATTAAAACACCTACATTATAAACTGCAATACTAACATATTTTTGTGATCTTGAGTTCCACTAACCAGCTGCATGCAATTCTCTCAGTGATTCTTCTAGTCTGAGTAAAATAATTCTATTTTGCTGCCTTTATATTTTTTTTTTAACCCTTACATTAGAATGTTTTTCAGAACCAGCTGACAGGACTTCTTAATGAAAAGCACAGAGACTTCTACTAATGCAATGACATTTGGTTTCCAAAAAAGCACAGTTTCAAAAAGAACTTCATCTCCTTCTTTTGTTGGAAGAGACTAGCCAATGTCCCAAAAAGAAATAAAAATATTTACAATTGACTAGTCACTGACAAAAGTTTAGGAAGATCTTAGAAGGTACTTTAGCATGTAAATGAGTGATTAAAAGGACTTACACAACATACAGTCAATCAGTTGTGTCATTTTGGGATAAAAAAATACCTGCTCACTTATATACCATTTTCAGCTGTGTATTTATAGTAATATATATATGTACACACGCGCGCGCACACATATAAAAGACTCTTCGAAAATCAAGATACATTAATAAACAGAAGTAGTAAAAGTAACAATAACTTAAGTAGTAGTTAACATTTGCGTGAAATGACTTTGCAGACTTTGACCAAATGCACTTAGAACATGCTCTTATTTAAAAAAAAAAAACAACAAAACAACAACAAAACAAAAAAAAACCAAACAAAAAAGAATGAAAACACCACAAGATTCTGTAGAACCAATGCTATGTTACCACCAGGAGAGCACCAAGCAAGGCACCATTGGAAAGACAACATACTTGAATAAGTCTCTATAAATAAATCAAATACTAATCTGGTCGAAAAATCGGTGTCTTTGGTAAAAATTCTATAAGGATGACCTGTATAAAAAGAAAACAAATATATATTAAATGAAAGATAGCAACAATCCTATTGTCTATCACAATGCTAATTCACAAAAATTTAATTGGTTTGCCTACCAACACCTAACACATCTAAAAAAAAATGAAATAAGTTACTACATAATTATTCTTGAACATAATTCATTTATTAGGAAAAATATGAGTGATAAACATATTCATTTCAAAAAAACAGAAGGCACGATGTATGCAGAGTCAATTTTCAATTAGATGTGCAATTCTCTTTACTTCAAAATTGTTTCCACTTACTATAGGATTTTAAATCATGTTTATAGTTCGAAACAACTTGTATAGAAAGGTGTATCAAGCTTTGCAAAGTTCCCATACTTAACAAATCTGCAAGTGGTTAACAGGAGACTCAACTAATGCTTTTGCATGATTATTCTTATGGTCCAAATTCAAATTTCAAATACATATTTCTGAGCTCTGTACACTGGGTAGGGTACGCTCCAGAATACAATCTAAGAATTTATCCTACTTTAAACTGAAAGCTTAAAGAAAATGTTCACTTCTGCATTTTCTTTCTTCAGAGAGACAGTCATAATACAGCAGCATGACTGCATTCATAAACAAATGCATCTGGTAACACAACTATGGATTTTATGTGTAAGAGAAGCTTGCCTTTCTAAGTAGTTAAAAAAGAATTTTTAAATGTTTTTGATTGAAAGGAGAACACACCTTGGGTGCTTAAAGAATAAATGCTTCTATATCTGATTGCATACTGAACATCAAAAAAGTCATAATCCTCTGATCACTTTTGAAATAGTATCAAAATCAGGTGCATAATTTTATGTTTAGAGATATTCAAAAGTGATTTATTTTCAGAAGTGATGCAAACTACTCAAAATCCATTGATCACTGACATGAGTCAACCACTGGATGCTTCAGAGATACCAGGGCTCCTGATATTCACGCAAGGTTTCAAAAAGGGAGCAAAAAAGTAAAGCTGGAACACTGTGTTTAGGCCAAAGGTATAATACTGTCTTGTCTTCATTTAATTTACTTAATTATTTAAGTTAGCATCTAAACAGTGGATTTAGAACCTCAAATTGGCAAAGCAGCAAGTTTGGGGTACGAGAGTTTAATTTAAATCACTTGTTTTGAAAAAAATTGAGAATAAATGTTTATTATTTAAAATTAAATAATTAAAATGACATTAAGGGTAGCTTTTAAAAGACTGGCAAATCGATTCACTGAAAATGAGAAAATGGTACAGAGAAGTTTTGTTAAAGCGTTCACATGAAAAATATCCAGAAATAATATATTAGATGTTTCACAAATTGAAAATAAAATATTCTAGCTTTACTCTGTAAAACTACATGTCCATGCTTACACATTATTAATGCAAACAGGTCAAATGATTTTAAATTCTATTTAGAAAAATGCATGTTCATCTGTAAACGTTGCTGGGCGATGGTATTTACAAAACTAGCATTGTATGTGTTATCAATTGAACCTGTAAAGCATTGGACATGACAATGTTTTCCTGTAGAAAAACAAAATTTTCACTGAAATAAAATCATCTTCACTTAGATAAAGCTCAAATCTACTTTCTGAAATTTGCTTTATTCCATTTTCAATTATATCTTGTACGTATAAACAAACAAAAAGTAGAATAGATGTTACCAAAAGTCTACTTATCCAGTGAACTGAAAAGAGCCATTCTGTAAAAAATGCATTTTAAAGATCTTATGTTTCAGGCTAGAAATAAGATCTAATGTAGAAACAGGAAAAAGGGGAAAACTAAAGGAAAAAGACTCTTTTAGTATAATTTTCAACTATTTAATCACTTTTAAAATTCTTACATGCGTGATATCTTTTTTTGTTTCAAAGAATAGACTAAGTACCATGTAATGAAAGATCACAGATAGGTTAGAACTAATTGAGTGGATATTTCTCAAAAGCTAATATTTATTTTTAAAAAGTTAACCCTTTAAAAGAAATTATGCAAATTCTACTGTTTCTTGCATTTTAGCAGCTTAATTTCATCCCATTCTATGTAGCTCCAGGATATTTTGAAAATAAAAACAGCACCAAAAAAGAAGGTTGCAAGCTAAACAAATTGAAATCCCACACTGGACATCATTCATTTTAAATCGCATATAACTTCTCACTGTATATTTCCAAGAAGGATTTATGGAATCTCAGTCAAAGACTGAACTAAGTTAAAACTCCAGAGACTGACTTAAAAATATTTTAGTGACGCCAATTGGAGATAAAGATACTTTCAAGACAGTTGAGGTAAGGGGCAGTTAAAATCTAAAAAGGCTAAAGGTTTCTTAAGCTCCAACAGCTTAGTTGAAAGGTCTTCTTCCATACTTTTAGACTTGATTAGCATTATATAAAACAGCCATATCTGACTTGCTGCGTAACCAAAGTTGTGGTTATTCTTTATACAGCATCTAAAATTTCACACTCCATCAGCACATGTTCAAGCTATTTTATCTTGGCAATTAATTTATTATTTTTCAGAACACAGTGAAGCCTTGTTTTCAAGTCATTCATAACTTTATAAATCAGTCCTGCACATGAAACCATGCATCTGTGAACCGTAGAAAATCCTTGCACTCAGGCGATTAAGCTCCTGACACCTTTACTGATTAATAATCATGAAAAGAATAAGATCAGAAGCAAAATAAATGATCATTTAATAGAGAAACTCACAAAACAGCCCTTTAACTTACATATTCCATCATGTTATTCGTTTCACATTTCCTTTTGCTTAGTCTCCAATGCAAGCACAGCTAGACAAGGAGGAAAGAAAAAGAAGAAAAATGAGCTGTATTTTATTGCAGCACACAGACTAGCCCATTTGTCCACCTTTCATATTTTTCGTTCAACAAAAGCATCTGTTTCCATACTGTGCAATTCAAACTCCAACAGTACGAAGCTGCTCCCTGCGGCACTCACCTTGTGGTATAACCTATTGTTTTCCCATTCTAATAACTTCTCAATCGATCTTCGTGTCTGGAAGACAAATGAGAAAGAATTTTACTCTTGACTGGTTTTAGAAAAACTTTGTTTTGCAGCTGCTTTTGTGTGAAAAGGAGAGAGGTACAGGACAGTGACTGAGTACAGGGTGGTCTGTGGTACTATCAAAACTTCTCCGGTATTAAATAGTAACTAGAACAGAAACAACTTTTTATGACACCCAAATAACTATCTTCAACCACTTTGGAACAAAAACTGTTCGGATATATGCTTTCCGGTTCTTATAGCAGTTATAAGTTTAAAACCACAGAAATTTTGAAGGGATTTAAGTACAAAAGCAGGAGCACTGCTCCCCCAGTACCAGTGCTCTAAACACACTGCTTCTAAGAAGGTCGGCATCTAAACTGACAAAGGTTGCGAATTATTTTGCAATCCTGTAGGTCAAGTACAAATATGCAATACTCTGAACGAGAGATAATTTTTTTGCTACTTTTATATCCAGATTTTAGAGACTGAAAAACAAATGCAGACAGTTACAGTGAATTGCACAAGTGAATATTACTAAATCTGTGATTTGTATAAAGAGTAAACCCGATATTTAGCATTCTAAAGCAGTTTTACTGCCTATGTTTTCCACGCTTGATCCTTCAGATGGAGAATCCTGAAAGCTGCTCTGCCCAGCTTTTTAAGATTATGCACGCTAGTATTAGAGGACATTCTGTGCTGTAAAGTTTCACAGCATTCTGAATATAATTATTCAGTTATATTTACATTTGAGAAATACATTCTGACATTTATGGTCATTTGACTGCCAGAATATATACTGCTTAGCTCTAAATGGGATTTGCTACTGACTATGAATAAAAAGAGGATAATTCATGGTGCCAGGTGTTAAGATGAGACCAACAGAGCTGCAGGTGCAAAAGGACGGAGCAATGACAAGGATCAAATACAACTTAGTGCAGCTGCAGCTTCCTTACAAGGCAGAGAGGGGTGAGGGGAAGGGATGAGAAAGCATCTTGCTGTTATTACTACAAAATACAAGTACTGTAAATGAACCTTAGCAAATCAAACTAAATGCTGTCACGAGAACAAGAACGTCTCGGGAAAAATAAAAATTCGACAACAAACTATTCCTTTCCCACCAAATATTAACATCTCGGTTTTCAAACACCGGTTTCTCTCTACTTTAACACCAAAGCAGTTGTGGGGAAACACATCTAAGCATGTACCGTGGTCACATGATTAAAATTAGATCATTGCTATCTATGAGTAATCATTACACTGAATTTTTTACCGTGTTTTATTTTAAAAAGCGCAAGTCAAAGAATTATCAGAAGGTGGATGTACCAGTGACTAATTTATCACATCAATTGGGAATTGAGTATTTTTGAGGTTATTGTTATTATTATGTTTTTAAAGACAGTGCCCTTTAACAATAATCAGTAGACCTCACTTGTTTCTTTGTAAAGATAGCCTTTTAGAGTCTGCTCTCCTTTTAAATGAAAATAGGGCAGCAGTTATGGTCACACTTTTGTTAATTTAGTTGCCAGTCAGCTCCAAATCAAAAGAAAATAAGGCTGCAGAGTGTAATTAACATTCAGTTCAGTCGTTTTGTCCCTTGTCTAGCCCCCAAGCTTTGTTAAAATTGCCATCTGAATGCTGAAGGCTGTAGGGAAATCGATTTGATTCTAATCGCACCATGAAAAGAACATGATCTAACTGCTTTCAGCCCTCCGTAAATCTGTACTAGGTCTTTAGCACAATGCAACTTCCAATTTAAAAAGCACTGAATGTCTCGTCAATGACTTTGTGAAGAAAAAAGAACAAGGAGCAGACATAAAAATTCCAATAGTTGTTTAAGCATTAAAGTTCATTTGCATCACAGCAAACCTGAAAAGGGCTGACCTCTCAAACCGCCTCTCAGGTCTATGAAGTTGTAGCCTTGACAAGCTCACATTGACAGAGCTCATTGACTCTGAAAGGCTACTCTATCAATGGTGAAAAATGGCAATAGGTTCTACTCTGAGCAGGCATCTGCCTGCCCACCCGCTGCTAAACCAATGGCAAAACCGATTCAAAACCTGAATCTACCTTGTAATCTTCCTTTTCCAGGACCTTTTAATAATAGATTAAGATCACTATACAATTTAATTTCATTGTTTGCCCCAAAGAGTGTGAAAAACATCCCAAGCTTTTCAAATTCCAATAAAATTACATATATAGTACAATACATACACATAAATAAGAAACTGATAGGCAGTTATGCACTATTAATTGGTTTATTTAAATAAGAAGCCAGTTTAAAGTCACTTGACTAGCGTGAGATAAAAACACATGCAGCCTCGAGACCGCGATTATTTATAAATGTTGCCAGATCCTTAAATATAATCCTTCCCCTAGTATAATTTGGGATAGTCGTAGCTCCCAACTCACACCATGCTATTAATACAGAAATGTTAATGAAAAAAAGACTGTAAAATATTTCTGCAAACCTCAGAGCTGGGAATAAAAAGAAATGAATTAAACAGCATCACACAATTCACTATAGTAAGTTTTCTTCCTACTTGACAGGTGAAAAAAAGCACTTGCACGTGCAGCTTAATTAATCACTGCTCTTGACATCTCAATGATTTACAGTGAGGAGCAGGTGAGGATATACAAAACCAGAAAGGAGCACTTGATTTGAGTGTAGCATTTCCAGCACACTAGGATGACAAGCTTATATATTCTATCAATGGTGTACAGAAAAACCCATACAGCAAATTATTTGTTAGCCACAACAAAAGCACAAATTAAGTGGAAGAGAGACTAGCTTATTAGGAAGATTTAATACTATCCAGCTTTTACATTTTTTTTCCTTAAAAAACCCAATCCAATATTTGAGCAAAGCTAAATCTGCAATTCAAGTACACTTTTAGCATACCAATGATAAGAAAGTATACTTTGCAACATACTCTGTGTAAAAAGCAGAATTTTGTGAAACAGATCTCTTCAATCAACTATCTAGATGCAATGTTTAATGAAACATTCCTCTAAGATAACTGATTCTTTAAAGATATTCACATTTGACAGTGTCTTTGAAAAATGAGACTACCAAATAAGCCCAACTCTGCTTTCACCAATACTTACTGCTCCCAATTAAGTAAAATAAAGTTTTGCCCTTAAATGTGGAAGGCAAAAAAAAAATAGGAAGACCAAGTATGAACTTTTCATGCAGGAACAAGGTGGTAGTGACTACAAATAGTGTGTTTCTACCTGAATTACCAACTGCAAGATCTTTCTGTTATGTCTTTACAGCATCTATGAAGTCAGGTTCCAATTCCAGATGGGGACGGGAAGGCTGTTGCAGCCACAGGGCTCCCTATTGCAGTGCCTGACCTGGAACACTCAGGCAATGCTAAACCCTACTCATGAATGGGCCAAAACCCCCTCAACCCCTGCTGTAAATCAGTGAATGACTGCTGCAATATTAAACAAATGGATCTTACATGACTCCCAAAATGGTGCTCATTTGAGTACCTCCCTTTATTTAAGCAGGGAAACAACACGGACAGTAACAACAGGATCCTCCACTATCAATTTTATTCTTAGTTGTCTGGGAACAACAGAGGGATCTCCCACTTACATGCATTTGGTCTTTGACTTCTCATCTGAAAACTCCAAAATATACATAAATGTAGTGCAACATTAGCCCAGTAAATATTATGTGGAGATTTTCAAATTACTTCATATAAAACTTTATCACAATCAAGTATTAATAATTTTGAATATTGCCCTGAAAAATATACACTTTACGCTAAGATTTCAAAATACAAGGAGAGCAATTTAAACAGATTTTTGGTTTGATTCTCATTCAACCAGAATTTGCATTATATCCAGAAAGGTAAAGGATCCTATCAGAAGTCAGAACCACCCCAATTTCACTCAAAGAGAGAAATGATAGAAAGAGACACTTCTGTTCATTCTCCAAACACAGATATGCCCAACTACAAAATTTATACCCAAGTAATCTAGTTACCAGTGCAAAAATGAAATATAAGGTTACAAGATAACCGAGTTGCACAGCTGCATGCTCACTATCAACATGCCAGAACGTTCCTCAAGCCAATTTTGAGGCCCGTATCAGTGGTGTGAAAACACCAAAGCTGTACTCAGAACAGGCAAAATTGTATTACAGGTATCTTTATCTCTGCTGAGAAAGTCCCCACCCTGAACACTGCATCACAAATAGACCCTTTAGGAACTGTAAATTGGTACTATTCCCATCTTACTGAGGAATTCTCTATTTGTGAAAGCCAAAGGTGACCAAGTTGATACTTGGGCTGATTTCAGATCCTGACATCCTGGAATACCTGCTTCAGTATGTACAGTAGTTTGGAAAGGGGTCTTTTCAACCACGTAGGTGTATCTTGCATCATCTTTCCTACTAGTACCTAGGATACTTCTAGTTAGAGACTATTTTAAGGGTGCTCATACCAGAAGCCACTGCAGCATCCACGCAAGAAAGTGAGTGAAACCCATACTACATGGATTGAAGAGTATCTAGAATAAATGTAGCATTCTGGTGCTTTTCGTATGATCTTGAAATAAGTGGCTTGTCCAACATGATTACCATTGCTGCAGCTCACCTTACAGATGATTCTGGGCAGAAAGTGAGCCCAGACCAAAGCACAGATCAAAGTTCCTGATCAGGAAAAGAGAAATATAATCAGCAGAATTCTAGAGCAGAAGAACTGAAAGCATCAAGTTGACCTTTCACGTTCTAAAAGGTAAGCCCAAGGATATTGTCCCATATCCTCACAGGATCCATAAACTGACCTAATTTGTACAGGCATCAAGCCTGGATTGGTACATCAGAGAGAGACGAATTTAAAGCTTAATGAATCAAATCAGATCAACTGCTTTCTGCAAAGGTCTCTTCCACCTCTTTGTCTGCTGATAATAGAGAGGAGAGCAGCATTATCTGACATTACTATTGCTGCAGCTCACCTTACAGACGATTCTGGGCAGAAAGTGAGCCCAGAACAAAGCAC